GGAGGTTTCTGCCTTTGTTTGAATCCCATCAAGTGTGAAAAACGGGGGCAGGCCTGAGGCCCTCCGCATCGTCTCTCTGCCCCGCTGGATCATCCCACTAAATCCGAACGCCGTTATAGGAAACGTTAACCTTTCAACATGACAGCTCGCACGAGCAGTTCAGCTGACACAAACACGTAATTTACACTTTTACAGTTTGGTGACGCCGCGAGAGACTCGAGGGTGGAAAAAGCATCATTTCTTGCCTCCATCAACACTTGAACAGCGATGTTTCTGCACCCTCGGAGAGCTCGGTGTCAGGCTGTGACGAGCGCACATCTCCGGGAACAGAGGTGGAAATTTGTCCTCGATGTCTGTCTTTGTATCGATGACGAAATCTGCTGTAAATAAACCAAAAGCAGCCCAACAGAGACGCCTCTGTTGTTTCTGATGCTCAGTTTTTAAACAAACCTCCATATTAGTGAAACTCTGATGAACTGTTGGAGATTTCAGCTTCCAGAATCTGAAACTGTAAAAGCATTCAGATTCTGCTGAATCAGAATCTAAAATTTTGGTTCCACAGACCTTTAAATGAGATTATTAACGATCCGAACAGCAAACTTCATTCCCATCATCACGCTGGGGACACCTGGGGTCACATCCCACACTGAGCCTTGCGGCTCTTTGATGATTCAGCCAGCGAAACTGTTTGAATGCTGGAAATCTCAAAACCTGCTCAAACAGCTGTGATGAAGTTTCTTACTTATGAAACAGAAACATTCACGTTTCCTCATGTGTTACATTTGTGACTGAAGCTCATGCTGGGGTTAGATTACCGCACATCACCTGAGCGTGTTCAGAGAGCACAAAGCGCACTTTGGCTCTGCAAATAAGCTTCGTTTGTTTTCTCACAAATAAGCGTGTTTGTTTGCAGCCACTGAAAAAGAGTTTTGGTTTTTGCTCCACATGAGTCAAAACGCTGAGTTAGTGACTGAAAACGGTGACAAAATAACTCAAAATTCAAAACAATGTCCCAGATAGTTAGCTTGTCAAACATTGTCACACAGAACAACTCAGGCTACGTCCACACGTACACGGGTATTTTTGAAAACGCAGATTTTTCTACGCGTTTGCACCTTTCGTCCACACGTAAACGGCGTTTTCGGTCACTGAAAACTAAGATTTTTAAAAACTCCAGCCAGGGTGGATATTTTTGAAAACTCAGTTTTTGCATTTACGTGTGGACGAGAAAAACGGAGAAAACGCAGCGTCAAAGGTGTGCGCCTTTTTTGACATCACACTGTGCGCCACGTTATTGTTTCGGTGAAATGAATTTCTACAAACTGTTACTGTTACTCTCTGCAGTGTTTAAATGCTTACATATACTGTCCCTCCACACCTTCAATGCCCCATCCTTGTTTACTATTTCCCACCGAGGCTTCTAGACTTCTAATTGGCCAACATTTCTACACGGTTAGGAATATATCGCCATCTGCTGCTTTGGCATGTTCCTAGCAGCGTTTTCCTTCATTTCTGCGTTTACGTGTGGACGGGATTATTTTTTAAAACGAAAACGGAAAATCTCAGTTTTCAAAAATACCCGTGTACGTGTGGACGTAGCCTCAGAGTTCAACATGCTGCCCACAGACACTTCAATATACAACTATAGAGTGGATCCTGATTGAAAGACCCTTCCTCGACCTCCTCAGCCACAGAAACCAGCGTCCACACTGGACTGTTGGTGGGTGGCTGGAATATTTTTGTCTTAACATCAGGTTGGGGTTAGGTTAACCTCCACCCTTAAGCTATAGCCTTTCTTTTTTTTCAACCTTTTTGGAAAAACTGTCAGATCTAAAGGAAAAGATGGATTTCAATGAAAGGTACCCTCCATCCATTTCCCGTCACTTCAGGTTTAAGTCAGGCTGAGGCGAGTGGGCGGGTACACCTGGACAGACAAACAACCGCCAATTCAGAGTCACCAGTTAGCCCCATGAAGGATTTTGGACTGGGTGAAGAACCTGTAGAGACACCAGGCTGGGTTTGGACCTGAGACCGTTGTTCCTGTGAGGCGGAAACCGCGACAGAGCTCATCAGCTGAGACATTTATACATCAGAGCTTCTCGATGGCTGCGCTTACATTAACGTACCCTAATCTAATCTGAGAACACCATGATGACCGTGTCGTGAGTAACAAATGCTGCACTGTCCAACCCGAGAAGAAACAATAGACGTTCGTCTAACCGCTGGACCACAAAATCTCTAACTCCAGCCCAACCCTGCTGACGTCGCTGGGTGAGGGCAACATATTGCTCAACTGTAGCTGCAACTATACTACAACAACCAGAGCGACTCCCACCTCAGGACAACGAGCACAGCGTGTGATCACGTGGGTTTAATCATTTATCAATAATAGATCAATGATCTGCTCGGTTTGTGGTAACACTAAAAAAGCCTTCGTGTTGTTGTCGAAGCTAATCAACTAAAAAAATATATTACCATCCATTTGCACGCCCCCTTGTGGACAGATTGAGTGAGGCGGTTAGGCTTCCTCGTGACCTCACCTGGCCTCACGACCTGCAGCAGATGGCTCAGGTTCACGTTTCAGACTCAGCGTTTGTGTCCAAACAACCTTTCACAAAGGACACCTCTGATTTTTAATCAGGGGAGCAGGTGGGGCTGTTATGACTGCTGCCTTATCGTGTTCAAGGACAGAGGCTGGAGTTTAACATTAAACCTGCAGTCCAAGTCAAATATTACCTCCTCTAAGCTAACCAGCTCCTCTACATGCTGCAGCTTCTGAAACTAAACAAATCGGCTCCTTCCCCTTTTTGTTCTGAGTCAAACACAGACAGAACAGGAAGGACGTGCCGGCACCAAAACCAGGCCGAGGTTTCTGAAATTCCTCTTTTTTCTCTGGGATTCACCTAAAACTTTGCTGCTCTGGATTCACAGGCTGCCGGGGAAATTCAGCTCGGTGACCTTCCTGCTCGGCTACGAAATGACAAACTCTAAACCTAAGAGTGCTTTTGGTGTTTCAGCACCAAAGTCCATGCAATAAACGTTTACTTTAATACATCACTGCAGCCAGTGGGGCTGTTGATCTGTGGGAGTGAGTCATTGTTAAACCAGTGAGCGCTGGTCTGTTTGCCTTCTTCATAGACAGAAAAGCTGTTATATAAAATTCCAAGATTAGAGATTAAAGCCTGATCTTTGTCTGTTAATAAATATTAATAATAATGTTTCAGTGCAGCAGCTCCAGTGTGGTGGTTTACACATCTGCCAGCAAAAGGTTGCTGGTTTGATCCCATTAGGGAGCAGCTGGGAGCAGTACTTCAAATACACATAGTTTTACTCAGGCCATGGTTTGCTGTATGGTAGCCTAGAGGTGCCAAACACAACACACCTGAAAACTGATTTTTTCATGTTTTTGATATCAGACTGATATCAGATTTTTAAGACCGATACTGATATCTGCTGATTTTACTGATCTGATATACTGGCCGATATTCTTTTCTTTAAGACATTTATTATGTATTTTTATTTACTCGTTTGCACTTTGCCCAACTCAACACTCACAACATGGCTGAAGGGCGCTTCTCCTTTCTCCTCTTTACTCTTTACATTTTTATTTATCGGCCGCAGTAACTGCCGATACTGATCGATCAACAAATAGCCAAACGTTATATTTCAGTAAACAAAATCACTTCAATCGCCTTGAAGTCAAGAGAGTTTTAACTCTGGGCCCGCCCACTTCTGTACTGTATACTACTATTCTGATTGTATATATTGTATATCTTATTTATCTGTTCCTCTGTCTCTCCTGCTGCTTTGAGCATGTACATGACAAAAGAATTTCCCTCGGGATAAATTAAGTTGTTCTTATTCTTATTCTATAGTTTCAGATCACCACACTGCTGTTAGTCACTTCCTGTGTTGGTCTCCTGTTCAAAAGTCATTTTTCAAAATGCTGATTTTTCCTTTTTGTGCTGTTCCTGCTTCCTGTCGGGCTTTTGTGAAATGTTATTGTTTTCTTAAATCTCATGTTTTCATTTTTTTTGGTTTAATGTTTAATCGTTTTGGGGGTTTTCCCAATGTTGTCACATTTTTTCCTGGAATGTCATGAGATGTTTGTTTCTTTCCCTGAATGTTGACGGGGTTTTCCTACACACGACTAAAAAAATTTGCTTGTAATTGTGTTTTTATTTTGTTTTTTACTTTTCTGTTCTTTTGCTTCACAGTTTTACTTCTTTGTTGTATTTTTGGTTTGGTTTGGTTTTTTACAAAACAAAGTCCAGTTTGGTTTCACTGTTGCGTTTTTTTGATTTGATGTTTCTAAAAAGTTGTTGCGTTTTTCTTAGTGTCGTTGTGTTTTGCACCGTTGTGCCACCGTACTGCTCGGCAGGCCAAATGAATAATTTTTTACTTCACTAACTTCCTTACTGACCCTCTTGCACCATTTCCCAGTGAAGAAACGCCACAAAGGGGGATGATGGAAGCCTCCACCCCTTCTTTCCCCTCCTCCCTCCATCCCACCCACCGGCCTCGCCCCTCTTCCTGCTGGTTTAAGGATGCAGGGGCTCATCAGTATCTCTGGACCACCTCACACACACACACCTCTGCATCGCTTTGCACAAAAGCCTGAAATTGCTTCCAGCTGGGAGTGAAGCCGGTCCCGGCGGACTGAGGGCAAACAAAGCGCATTTTACGCGCACAGTGGCGCACATTTCCCCGCTGAGTCTGCACTGCGGGGCAGCTCGGGACCCCCCCGCCCCCTAAAAAAAAAAAAAAAAAGACCTGCAGCTCTCTGACACAAACTCTCTGCAGACCCGAAACAACCGCACCCCCTCCGTCCCTACTTTACACCAGCTGTACTGACAATGATGATGAAGGTGGTGGTGCCCCAGTCCTGCCCTGCGCATCCTCAGCGCGCAACAACCCGAACAACGAAACCCCGAGAGGAGCCGTGAGAGGAGCGGGAGCAGAACCAGGAGAGGACAGGAGAGCAGGGCCGCGGGACTCACCAGTCGGTGTCCGTGGTCTCGTCGATGACGTCCTGGTAGGCGGTGAGCAGGGCCAGCCGGTTCTTGCCGAGATTCACAGCCATGTTTCCGTCCCTGCAAGCATCCAGCCGCTGCTGATGGAGAGAGACTCGGAGTGAGACTACAGGAGGACGACAGCAGCAGGAGGAGGAGGAGGCGCTGACTGGTGGAAACAAAGAGAGGAGCGCGGTGTCCGCCGGGTCCTAGCGCCGGATCACCAGCCGGTCAGCTGTCCGATGGGTCCTAGTGCCGACCTTTCAACTCCTGCAGCTGCACAGAAACAGTTAAAGTTTAAATTTGTCCGAAAGGAGGAAGATTTGTGTGAATGTGCGTGTCACCGTGGTAAATCATTACTTTTACATTATTGCTGTTACTGTTTAACATGTGCTGTACTCAGATCGTCTTACAGCACTTACAAAAACAAGGAGCTCGAGCAAAGAGGAAATATCAGGTAAAGGAGGTCAATAAGTACGAAACCAGGTGTGAAAGTCAAACTTGCTGTTTTTCTGAAGGTTTGCTCGTGAACAATGCTCTGCTTTCTGCAGTGTCACTCAGTCTTTTAATTTGGTGAACCAAAGACAATCTCCCACTGATGTGGATAATAAAGTTTTTTTTCTATTCTGTTCTAATCTACTCTGGTCTTTCCCTGTGACATCACACAGGTCCAGGAGAACAAAAAAAAACTATGTGAAGTGAAGCTGTTGGGCTTACAGGAGTTACTGATCTCATTATGTGAAGCATTGCCAGCTGGAACAGCACCAGGTGAGAGTGACCTGTGATGTAAGCTTTTCTGTGGGCGGGGCTTTAACTGGTAAATGGAGGGTTCCTGAGCACCCAGCATGCACCTTTCTACATCTAAGTGCTTTTGGTCTAAGATCCACAGTGATGAACAGATCAGGATGTTTGGCACGCAGACTGGAGCAGCCGGGAATTGAACCGCCAACCTTCTCATTAGCTGATGACCTGCAGAGTGATGAGGAGTCTGTAATCTTCCTCAGAGTAACACATGAAACATTGTGTGCCTACTTTGTGTTTTCTGTAAGTTTCTCTGATCAGAGTTTGGCGAAATAATCAGGTGGAAGAAAACCTGCAGTTCCTCTGGTGGCCACCAGAGGCTCCTGTCGTAAACTTTCACATAAAAATGTTGAACTTTACAGCAGAAATAAGCACGTTTACAGAAACAGTTTGGGTCTTTGTGGACCATTTTCTCGTTTATAATTGCAGCACGGCAGGTGATTGTTTTTAAAATGCTTCTTTTTTAACTTGATTGAGGCTTCAGGTTTGAGCTGGAGCTGCTAGTCTCGGCCTTGGCTGTCTGGAGTCACTGAACTCGACCTGCGGTCAGAGTTTGTGCTGCTGTGCTGCATCCTTGAAGTCTGTCCTCTAAGTTTGGGTGAATTAAAGTCTAAGAGTTTGTTAGCCTGTTATTTAGCTCTCATTATTAGAGGGTGCAGTGTCAGTGTGATGCATTAGCTTAAAAAACAGTCTTGCTAGGAGTAGCTGATCACTTCCACCCTCTTGTCCAAATATGGTCACTTCCAGCTCCAAACAAACCAAGATGGCTGCACTTAGACTTCAAACTGTGAGTGCAGTAACCAAAGGTGGCCTCCTCCTCCTCCTCCTCCTAGCATTCAGGGCTTCTTCTTTGACAATCTGTGGATTTAAAAACCTTTTTAGGCCTGTAATGGGGGCATCAACCACTTCAGAAGGAGCCTCCATCAGCCGGGTGGTGCATTAGTGAAGTCGTCTGGAGGCACGTGGGTCCCATGTTTTCTTAATAACAAGTCTCTCATGAAAACCAATAAGTGGCAGAGCTGCCTGGTAAGTTTGCCTGTTGCTATGGATTCCAGCATGGCGGTCCTGTTTTAAAAAGCAGATCAGATGATGAGCGCTGAGGAGCAGCTGAAGCTGTTTTCAACAGCTGGAACAGCTGACCTCTGTCAGCCTCTGTGGGCTGATTTTTTTTTTGTGAGGAATAGTCAGCAGGACCCGATGGCACCGCCGCCTCCTCAGACCAATCCCTGACTCAGACCGTCTCCAGTAGTGATGGGTCGGTCGCGAACGAAATGGCTCTTAGAGCCGACTCTTTCAGTGAACAATGCAAGATTTTTTTTTCTTTCTCTCACTTTTTTTGCTTCACGCTGCACTCATTGTGTTGGCGCTGAGCAGAGATGGGAGTTTGCGCCCCTCCGCCCAGCGCTGCGCGGGGGGGGGGGGGTTACAGTCGCATTTTATTGTGTTGTGGTTTGCAGTGTTTTGTGTTGTTTCCTTTTAAACAAATTTAAAAGGAAACATCTGAAAATTGAAATAGTTAAAAGCTAAATTGTAAATAGTTGATTTTTGTATATTATTATTTATTTATTTTACATTTTGTGTGGTGTGAGTAAATAAAATAATATTTATATATTAAATATATATATAAATAACTTTTTTTTTTTTACATTAGTAGTTCCTTTTGTGCATAATTTTATATTGCTGCTGATAATAAATTCATTAAAGCAACAAAACGACCTGACGAGCCTCAGGACCGCTCGCCAGATCGCACTCCCAGTGTTTTGTGGATGGTTTGGAGGCAGTTTGTACATGAAGCAGGAAACAAGCTGACTACTGAAGCCGGGTGAAGTTAACAGTTAAAACCAGTTTATTCTGTTTCTTGTGTTTTCAACATTAGTATTAATATAAATACTCTGCTCCATCTGAATTAAGTATTTACCAGATGAAAAACTGCAGCGCAGGCAGGCAGATGTCGACTTTGTTTCCATGAACACTACAGCTTCATTCAAAGAAACACAGATGAGACTATAACACAGAAATTAAATGTTGAGTCTGCTTTCTATGAATAAAGTTACATTTGAACATTAAACAGTTTCCACAGATTGCTTACCTGAGCCTGATTTTGTTTTTTAACATGTATGAATTGTGTGTCATTCGTTGTTTGCTGACGTGTCAGACTCATCGCTGATACGCAGACGTTTTTAAACGTGTTGTCGGTCAGATCAGCAGGACGGTGGGAGGTCTGGGCTTTTAGTGGATTCATCTGTGGACCAAGTGAAGCACGACTTCAGACTTTTGTGGTGATTTAATTTTTGAGAGAACAGAAACAGACAAAGACTTTTTTTTGTAGTTTTGCTTCTTAACAACATCACAGTGGATTTCAATCAATCAACACATGATAGAAGCTATGAGTGAACTTGTAAAAGGCATCAGTTCTTATGTACAGTGGCTAGTTTTCAGGTTACCTGCTGAAATGTGATTGGTCGATGTTCCAACGACTATAAATGGAAAAGGACCAAAATGTTCACGTTAAAGTGCAGAAATGTACCTGAGTATGACATGCTGCCAACAAACATGTTACAGGGAGACTACTGCACTGACAGCAGCTCTTCATGTTGACCTTCAAACAGATCGATGGACAAAAGCGTCCACGGTCAGCTGATGCACTTCAAACTCAGCTGGTGTGTTTCTGAGGATGTCGAGGAGCTCCGTGTTGAGTTTCAGGTCGTTTGGTTGAGCGGTTCTCGTATTTTGGGCCAAAGATGTTTCCTGTTGGGGCGACTGCTCCACTCTGTGTGCAGGGGGAGGAGCTAATATACACACACACACACACACACACACACACACACACACACACACACACACACACACACACTTGTTTCACTATCTTTGTGAGGACATTCAGTGGCATTAATGCATTCCTGAGTCTCTTATGTTCACGTTTAATCACCACATGTACACACAAAGGTTGTTTTTTTTCTTATTACTAAGACGTCAGGCTCTCTCGTCTGCACAAAGAGTGGCTGCATCCAGAGAAAACCGTGCTGCAGGTCCCTGAAAGTAGCCGCCACCACTCAGTTGGTAACAGAAATCTGAACCCAAGCATTATTTTTCTTACTGTTGTAGCTGTCTGGAGATTTCCTCTGGTTCAGCCATGAATACTCAGACCGTTGAGTCCTTTGCAGCTTCTACAGGAGGATGTGGCGGCCGCAGGGTCCATAAAAATGCTGTTTCAGTGTCCGTGTGTCAGCTAACCTGGCTGATAACCCAAACCTCTGACTTCAGGAAGCTAACATTTCAGCAGGCGTTACGCTAAAGCTGAAGTTTCGAAACATGGAGGCCAAAAACTAATGTATAAAAGATGATTCAACTTTTAACCCATTAGTTCATTTCTGTCTGGTTTTCAGATTAAGAGTTTCAGGGTTAAAGGAAGAATTTGGTGAATTTTGGGTAAGTTTGGCACTCTGAGGGTGAACATGGGCACACTGGGGTTACATACTGCTACTGCAAGGCTCTTTTAACCTGAAACCAATTTTATTTTGTTTTAGCTACAATTTACAGGTGATCCCTGAATGCATCCTGAAAGCAGACGTGTGAATGTGATGGCATAGCTCTGACTGAGAGGAGCTGCTGTGTTACGATGCTGAAGTTCAGACAAATGAAATCCACAGAAAATCTGTGAAATATGTGAGATATGTGTGGCAGCAGCACACAAATCCGACATTAAACTCTTCACATGGAACAAAAAACAGAGCCTGAGTTTTTATTGTCAATCACACGAGGTGAAACAAACAGAAGACGTTCTTACAGTGTGAGTCAAGTACAAACAGACACTGACAGTGTGGTGGGGAGTGCAAAGACACATCAGGTTTGTATGAAAGCTATAAAATCTGGTTGAAGACGGAGATTAACGACGCCAAACTCGGACAAAACGAATCTCTGATGACCGAATGGCCCAAGAATGTCTCTCGAAGCCGTCTTTGAGGGTTTTTGGGGACCCTGTAAGCAATGAGACTTTAAAATGAGGTTCTTTTCTCCCCGTTTCCTGGAAAAGTTGACATTTAGGAGGTTTTTCCCAGCTGGCGGCGGTGGCCGTTGCTGTGGAAACCAGGCTGCCTCAGAGAGCTGAACCCCACGCAGGCCGCCTCGGTGTTTGTCTCCCAAGCGGGCCCGCCGGCTGGCGCCGAGCCCACATACCTTCCCTCGGCTCTCAGAGGCCAGAGGATAATGGAGGAGGGGCGGGGGCGCTGGTGGCGCTTTAATTGGCACAGACAGCGATTATGTTCAAGGTGAAGCTGCTGAAACTCCCTCGGCCCACCATTCAGCTCTCTGAACCCCGCTGCACTCGTTCCTCTTGTGTTTATTTGCATGCAAGGCGACCCTTTAGCTCCACACTAAATAACTGCTCAGACTCTTTACCACGACTGCAAAAGTCTGCACCACCTTTCAAAAACCTCCGCACTACCAGGACACCGTGCACACGTGTTTACTCCTCACAGTACTGATGCATCATGGGATCATAAATTACTGCCAGCGTTCTCTCCCCGGGCTGTCAGACGACTGAAACACTTTGTGCTCGGCCGGTTTGTGGGAGTGGGTACAGCGAGTCTCTGATAAAAAAACTATTTTCAGCTGTGCACCATAATTCAAGATTAGGCACAAAAAACCTGCCGAGATGAATTTAATGAAAGCTGGTGTAGAGGCGGAAAAACAGGAAAAATTGATGCAGAATCGGACAAGTTTAAAAAAGAAAAAAAGATTTTGCACAGCATCATTTCTCTGAGTGCAAATTTTAAATCAGCCTTAAAATAATCTTTTTCATTTTTATTTTAATTTTCATTTCTTCTCGTGGCCACTTTGGTAGAAAAATCCTTTAATTGTCCCACGAGGGGAAATGTGGGTGTAACAGCAGTAAGAAGGACACATATACAAACAAACAGAAACACACACAGTTTTACATATTTAT